CTCGGCCGGCACCACCGTCGGTACGTTTTTTTTCTTTTTTCGACTCTTTATCTACCTAACCCTCTTCCCTCGCACTTCCCCTCTTAGCTTTTGAACTATCGTGTTGCGCGAGAGCGTGGAAGCTCATGAGATTCGTCGGCCCCCCCTCTGCTTCGGCACGGGATTCAACTACATCAAGAGCCATATAGGACACTGCTGACATACAAAATCTGTTCCTCCTCCGCAGAGGGAAGCTGGGACGACGTCTTCCGCGTCATCGGACAAGCGCACTCTCTCGTCCACCAGAGCGGCGTCGTGCGGATCCAGTCTTCGATGCGCGTCGGCTCGAGGTTTGTCTACCTGAAATGAAATTTTACTTCACACGACAAAGAACGCAAAGTCGTCATATGGATAAATGTTTGAGTGGCTGATGATGGTTATTCTCCTTTGCGCAGAACGGACAAGAAGCAGTCTGCCGCCGACAAGGTGGCGCGGGTGGAGGGCATCCTGGCGCAAGACAAGTAACTGTCCTTGCCTTTGAAAAGATGTGTTGGTGGTATGAGATAGGTCGCGGTGCACGCACAAGACAGAAAGGTTGACAGCTTATTAGGTTATGATTTGACACGAGATATACTATTTGATTTACCCCGCCGCCGTCGCCGCCTTTCATGATGGTACATGTATACATCTCAGCCTTCGTAGATTGTAATATTGACACCGCCGACCCTCCTTGGACCCCCTAGACCGCCCTCGGCCTTTTTCCCCTCCAGTTTAAAAGACATTGATGAAGGGTAGCAACTTTTTAAGAGCTTCCGCTAAGGGAAGCATTTCAAACACTGCTTTAACCGCGCATGGTCTGCTTCTTCATGCTCTTCTTGAGGTCGCGCTCACGCTCCCTCTCGAGGTACTTCTTCTGGGCCTTGGCGTCCAGAGCGCTGAGCTCAGCGTCACGCTTAGCCTTCTTCTGCTTCTCGCGCTCGAGGGTGCGCTCCTCGGCCTTCTCAGCCTCGGCAGCCTTCTTGAGCTGGGCAATAGTCTCCTCGCGCACGCTGCGGACCTTGCGCAGGACCTCGGGGCGGAAGTGCGCACCCGAGACGAGGGCGTCGGGAATACGGACAAAGTATTCGAAGAGGGGCAACAGGGATTCGTAGTTGTTGCTCGAGGGGATGCGGTAGCGGAGGAAGACGCGCTTGCGGGGGGTGGTCTCCTCGATGCTATTACACTGTTAGTAATGAACATGAACCACAAATTGCGGTTGAAACTCACGTGCTGGGGCGCTCAATGGGCTGGTCAGAGACGATAAGGTAGTCAAACGCGTCGCCGGCAGCCTCAACGGCCTTGATGAGCTCAGGGGTCAACAGTTGCTCGGTGATCTCGGCGCTCTCGCTCATGACGGTAACCCAGTTGGGAAGCTTGGCATTATCCTTGGTGAAGGTGATGGAGACATCGTAGCGATCGTCGCGAACCTGCTTCATGCGCTCCTTGGAGACGATGGCCCAGACAAAGTTATCGTACGTGCTCTTATTCTCCTTGCTGCGCAGCTCGTGGGTGCCGGGGATCGCGGGGACAGTGAGGCTCTCCTTGCCGTCAAAGGGGTAGATGACAGCTTCGACAGAGTCGTGGGGGGCCTCAACAGTATCCATGAAGAAGCTGGTGACGGCCTCGATGATGCTGAGGAACGGGTTGAAGCGCTTGGTCAGCGTCAACTTGACGTCCATGAAGGCGACATTCTGGCGACCGGTTCCGTAGCTGGCAAACTCAAATAGAGACTTCTCGCGCAGCAGACCCGTAGGGTCCTTGGGGTCGGTGTCGGTCGTGGAACGCGGGGAGAAGCCGACGGAGGCGAACTCGGACTTGAGCACCGGCGCGTGGGCGGTGGCCCAGGACTTGGCCTTCTTGCGGTTGAGGCGCGAGCCAATGATGTGCAGGAGAAAGATGACGGCGCTGACGGCGAGGATGGCACCCTCGAGCTTGAACTCGCTGAGGGAGTGGCGCTCGTGGATGTTGTACCACTTCGTGAAGGGACGTCCCGTGGCCTCGGGCGCGCCGCCGAGCGTCGTGCTGCCAGGGGCAGCCGTGAAGGCGCTGGGCACCGGCGACGGATCAGCAGCACCGGCGAAGTCTGCAAAGTCTATACGCGAGAGGTAATTGCGTCAGTATAATGAGGTTGTGGATTTTGTGGGTGCTGAGGGGAAACTGGAAGCTTTGACGGCACGGGGGGTTCGGTTTAGGGGGCAGGGGAATTGAGTCTCGAGAGTAGCATACCGGAATCACCGCTAGGAATTGGGGATGCAGAGGGCTTGGAGCCTCCAAAGAGGCCGTTGAGGATGGCGGCCATGATCGCGGTCGGAGGAGGGATGGCTGGCTGGCTGCGGTGGTGTCGAGATCCAAGACTGCAGACAGTGAAGCTGCGCACTTGTGAGGAGGTATCGCCAACCAGAAGGCGAAATTAGGCCAGTCGTCAAGCTGTCGTCAGCCAGTCACATCACTTTCCTGGGAGCTGGGGCACAGTGACGTTTCTCCACTTATTCATCTGAATGCGGTCGACCGTCGTAGAACCCAGCAGCGTGGGTTCAGTGTCTCGTGCCCGGCCCGGGGGACCTTTAGCGGCTCCGGGGTAACGTTTTTTCCGCTTAAGCTCTGGTTGTCTGGACGACGCGCCCGGAATGTCAATAGTGACCAACGTCAGTCACAGAGACACCATGCAATCAAGCGTCAAAAGTAGTAGCACTCAACTCAACAAATCAACCCCGTATGGACTCAAGAAGAAGAAGACAAAATGGTGCGAACAACAGCAGCTCGCACTTACGGAAAGACCTCAACAAAGGCAAAAGCAAGACGACTGTTTGCTGAACTTCCACAAACCCCAGTTCGGAAACCCAATGCGACGGTCACGCTGGACTCCGAAGATGACTCCATCATCAAGATTACCGAGGACCTGGAAGCCCTTGGGGTCGATTTGGATTCCTATTCCTCGGAAGATGAGCTATCAAGAGACTTCAGCGAGGTTGTTGTGGCATCTCCACCGACACCTCAAAAACCGGAAACTTCCCCACGGGCGGTGAAACAAACCCCAAGGACCGCGAAAACCACGAGAAGGATAGCTAAGGGGTCACTTCCTACACCTGTATCAAAGGCTGAAACGCCCAAGGTCAAAGCTCCGGAAGTGTCAGTAGAGCCTCACCCTGACTATCGCATTCTTACCTGGGAGGATGTTTGCCCACCCGGAGACACGATCGAGAAGATCGCTGAGGCTTCCTATGCAGAAGTTTACCGCGTTCGAAATGAGCGTGGCACAAGCATAATCAAGTGCATCCGTCTCGAGTCGCCCATCAAGGCACAAACTAAGGCCCAGGAGCGTTCTGGACTGGTTGACGAAGAGCCGCATTCAGAAGACGATATGCGTGGTGAACTGAGCATATCCGAGTGGCTCGCCGACATTCCTGGTTTCGTCATTTACAAGGAGCGGTACCTTGTGAGAGGGAAGGCCCCAAAGTGCTTGCTTGAAACACACCAAAGCTTTCATCGGAAGATGAAGCGTAAGGATCCGGACAGGCTGCAGTTCTACCCAAGCCCGAGTCGTTATCTTGACGAGACCACTTTCTTGGTGGTAGAGCTGGGTGATGCAGGAACCGCACTCGAAGACTTCGAGCTCACGGACTCCGGTCAGCTGTGGGATATCTTCTTTCATGTGGCAATTGCACTGGCTAGGGCGGAAGATCTAGCTTGCTTTGAGGTATGTTAGCACACCACTGAAGCGATTGGCAGAACAATGTGAGCTAACAAGACCAGCATCGCGACCTGCACGAGGGCAACCTTTGCATACGGAGATCAGAAGACCCACAAACGCGGAATTCAAAGAAAGCAGGGCCATACTTTGGCTACTCTGGCCTTGACATTACGATTCTTGACTATGGTCTCTCCCGTGCCGAGGACCTTGAATTACAGGAATCTGAGCCTATTGCGCTCGACCTTGAGAAGGACCTCAGCATCTTCACCAGCACCCACGCCCCACAATGCAAGGTTTACCGCCAAATGCGATCCTTTCTTATACGCGGCGAGCGCGGGCATCTGCCACCGGCCGCCCACAAATCACCTTACTGCAAGGGGGTAGATGGCGAACCTCTATCATGGGACGTATTTGTGCCGTACACCAACGTCTTGTGGCTGGCATATCTCTACCAGTACATGATCAAGGGGTTCCAGGGCGACAAGAAGGACCTCGCAGCATTCAAGAAGGTCACGAAAGAGCTGTGGAAATACCTCGATCCCGATGCCAAGGCTGGAACGCCGGCATTTGGGACTTCTGCCGAGGTTGTGAGGTTCGCGGTGGAAGCCGGCTGGATAGACGAGTCACAGCTGATGGGTGACATTGAAGAGGACAGGGAGGAGAGCATCATTCTTTCCAGAGAGGAGGTGCAGGAAATGGGTCTGCGACGATCACCGAGAAAGCTGCGGTGATCTTGAAGAGTGTTGGGTAGGAGCTTGGTTTGAATTTACGGTGCATTGCATACCAAGGGGCATCAGGGGCTGGGGCATTGCATATGGGCACTAGGCGGTATGGCGGGTACAAGGTGCATGCATAGATGATTGCAAATACCCAATTGATATTCTTCGACAAATCATTCAGTGATGCGAAGCGAATGTGGATTTGCTTAAAGAGCCCATCCCCCAAATTCAAAGAAGGTCTACAGTCAAACAGCCCAACCTACACATTCCTAACAAGACTTCAACGGTACGTTCGTGTAGTTGAACAGTCCGTCGGAACTAGTCCCAGCCCCACAGCCACTACCTCGACTGACACTTGCTCCTTACTTTTCACTGTTTCTCGGTGCTTCGTACCCTCCTCGCCACGCTCGTATGCTCGTGAAAATGCGACCAAGAAAGCGCTTCTTTGGAATGTCGTCTTCTTGCGTGGGCACCTCTTGGGGACCATACGTGCCCGAATGAGAAAATTGCTCTTCGCCTTCGGAGTCACTAGCAAGCTCAAATGCGTTCCCTCTTAGCCTGACTTTCAATTTCTACGAAGTCTTCTGAAGGACACCTGCCGGCTGCAGACCATCACCCAAGGCTTCGCGGCAATCCTTACTGAGGACGACAAGAGTTGCCAGAGCCGAGTCCTTTGCGTCTGCCGGGATGTATACGTTCTCCGGTCCTCTTTCTCGAGATACCGTGCTCTGGGCGGTAATGGCGATGACTAGGAATAATACTGCTGCAGCAATCTCGACGGCGAGGAATGAAATCCATCCCCATGTTATATGAACGTACGTCACCTCCTTCAAAGGGGTTCCCTTGATGACGAACACCCCCGGTCTCTTATCTTGATGATGAGCGGTTCGTGAGCTGCAAAATCTGTCAGAGAAGTGGTTTAGACGAGATAAGGGAGACTCACGTAGATGATAAGCTAGTGGCAATATCCTGGAAGAAATTGTTCAGTTGGGCTGCTCGCCGTGTGGAATTGAACATGTTTTTGTTGTTGTAGAGTATATTTTCGAAGACGGGCCGGGAAAAGCCATCTGACCAGATGAATGCCCTCCCCTCAGCCACATATCGTATCTCTGCTTCTCCACTGAGAAAATAGGAGAATCCTGCTCCTATATGCCACATTGACTTGTACGGAGCGCTAAACTTCCTTGTTCCAGGACTCGGGGGGTTGAGATGTGCAACTAAGTCACCTGGGTCTTTCACTGGCTCGCATGCATCGAGTCTATCCACCAAAGGTTGACAATTGGGCCCCAAGATGATTCCCTTGCTTTTATCATCGATTTGCGATAAGGCGTCAATCATGTGAGTCTTTTCTACCCCCATGTGGACTTTGGTTTGAAACTTCTGAACACACATATGGAATACGACTTCGAGTGCCTCGTATCCAAAGCTTTCAACCAAGGGCGCCATACTGGTTTCATCGTTTAGGTACTTCCGAAGATCTTGAGTAGTTTTGTTGGGCGGTGTCGGGGAGGTATAGATGAAAAAGAACGAGGCGATTTTAGTTTCGAGAAGCCTTGTGTTGTTAGAGAAGCCAAAGGTATCGGTCCCCATAAGCTCGCCGCCTTTGACCACCAAAGGGTTTTGATGCAGAACCCCGTATTCACTCGAAAGGCTAACATTCCATGTCTTTTGACCAGGGCCCAGTCTCCCACCACCGTCTTCAAGTAATTCTGACGTCAAGTTACTTTTCGACTCAGTCCGAAGTTTTGAAGTTATGTTGGCAATATCCACACAAACACCTAGTGACTGATAGGGACCGAAATCGCAATTTCCTGTCGAGCATGAAGCTCTCTGAGGGGGCGCTGGCTCTTCGAAGTTACCAGATTCTGGTATTGTAGCCTTGAACGCCGCAAGGTCCGCCAACTTTAGTAACTTTCGGTGGGATATATTGATTTTATCGATGGTGATGATACTAGCCTCTTCATCCAGGGCGGTGTCATTTCGCTGGCGATAATTGACAGCCAATTGGGTTACTGGAGAAGAAAGAATGCTGACAACCATCAAGATGGCACCAAATTGGTGACCCAGTGCTTGAGCCGCACCCGGAATAGCAGCTTCATGGAGCCTAACCAATCCCTACTTGCTTGGTCGAAGACACGAAAGTCATGTAGGGGCATTGGTTTCCTAAACCAGGTGAACTTCGATTGACTCAGAGCAATGGACACTGGTAACATGAACGCCGCTTTTGCCAGTGTTGTGAAAAAAGCGAGAAATGTGTTGAGCGTGATTTCAAAGGGCCAGTCTGGCAGTGTCTGACCATCATAGTAGACGAGAACGACAACGATGACTGAAGTCTAGCGTTAGTGGAATTGTTCATATCTACCCAAGTGAGTTCTGGATATCTGGTGCCCAGCCGCACGTTTGCTTACCGATCAATGAAGTAATACTAATGATGATGCAGAGCAGCTCTTGCCACCACACTTTCCAGAATGGACAATGCACTCCTAGCGTCGTAGAGGACTGGAATTCGGCTTTCGAGCCAGCACTTCCGAATGAGGGTTGTTCCGAGGATTTGAGCTGCCCCTGGCTGAGGATAAAGGTACCGTCCATCGCGTGACCTTGGCGTGTATGAGAAGCCAGCATGATCTTAGCTATCTGCTCTCGCTCAGTTCCAGATCCTCTTGCTGGAGAAAGAGAGATACTGGTGTGTTGTTGAGGCTTAGTGTCGGCAGATATCGGAGGGAAGGATGGCGAGACGTTTGCCTGAAGGAGATGGCATGTTTGCGCTGACATGCCCTGGCTGGAGCCATAGGGAAGTTGGTTCTGAAGAGCTTTGATATTATCCTCCAGACCTGAGCTAGTAGAATATTGCTGGTGATAATCTTGTTGACTTTCCGGCTGGAACACTTTCGTCTCCTGGCCCGACATAGTGAGAGGGGAATGATGAGAGAAGGCGCTCAGTTGCATCCACGAATCAAAATATTTCAAGCGAGTCGGGAGGTAATGAGACCTATTTATAATTGAAACAGTAAACGAGGCTTAATTTAGGCCTATACGGGCTTCTCGAAGCCTCGCAAGTTTGACTGTCACACGCCGAGGTCAAGGTACGACTAACAGCAAGCAAGGATGAGAACTGAGCATCGAGTTCACTCAGCCATGTGCAACTCTAGACGGGTGAAATTTTTAGGCCCTTTCTACCAGAAGGAATGCGGTGATGACTCCAAAAACGGACCGGACTCATGCAATTAGCCCAACTTTAGCATCGCTCAAGAGCAACTTACGGGAGTGACCGAGTAACCACCCACAATAAACCAAGTCTACGCCACACCGCTGATCTATCACGGGCTGATTGGAATTCCTCAAAATTACGGCGGTGAGTCTCGTACATCATATGGCTGTACGCTGCCTCCTAGTGGGACACGAGTGAAACTGAACGTTGCCTACGAGTAAGGGAGTTACGCTGCGTGAACACACCTTCCGTACAGCCTTGCAACGCCATGAGTAGTGTGGCATGGGCTTAGAGCTGTGTTCTTGCAGTGTGGCTCTAAAGCAGAGTGTTTAAGTGAAGCTACTCTTCGCTCGATCTTAGGTAGATACAGCAGCAAGTAGACGTTGAAGTTGCCCCGAGACACACTCTTCATTGTTGGATCCTGCAATGAGACAGCAGTACGGCCAACGAACACATTCCTTCTTAAGGTAGGTAGCTTGAGCATCAACACAGCAACCACTTAACATCCAATCAGCTACACAGAAGCAACCGACTTGTCCTTCACTGCACAAAAGATGGCCTTCAGATATTCAAGAACCTTGAACCAGGGACGGACCGCGACCGAGACTTACACATATAGAGCTCAAGAGTGTATATAGTAGTATACTGAAAGGTCGAAGTGAGTTCTCGGAATCGGAGCTGTATACCAGCCGAATAGCCAGCCACTAGCAAGGGATAAAGGAGGAGGTGGGGGAAGGGGCGCTCTGTGAATTTCGGTCTAATGTTGATATCTCTAGTCGTCGCTCAGCCAGGCATTCCGCAGCTAAGTGCTCTTCATACAGGCGCACTCATCCCGACAACTAGCCCACCCGCGACATGGCCAAGCTGTTGAAAGAGAAACGCGTCTTCTCACTTATACCTTGGTATTTAAACTCGAGGGGAAGGAGCTTGATCTTTGTTTTAATTGAGCATCGTCCCGCAATGGCTTGGCTTTGCAGACCGTTTGGTGATTGTTGCTTTCCTATGAAGTATATCAACCAATAGTCTTATCGTTTTTAAGAGACTAAGTAAAGTTCTCTTCGCCTCCGTAAATACACAGTGCACTATTGAAGAAACGCCATGACCAGCAGCTTCGGTAAAATATCAGTAAAAGACTACGCATAGCCAGGTCTTAATACCTCCTACGCCGCCCTGAAAACCCCCCTTCCATTCAGTGTATGTAACGTTTAGTTATAGCAAGGTACACACGAGGGTCTCGCTTAACGCTTTCGCTGAGGTGAATAGGGTCCTCAACGTCTCACGCAAACTTGGCAGAGATCTCCCTTCAAGGCATTCGCGGCTGCAGGTAACGGCGGAAGGTCCGGTCATTTCCCAGTCCCCCAGGGTTTCTACGCGCCTGGGTCAGCCGTATTCAGAAAAGCCACAGAGAGCCGTTTTAAAGGAAGCGGTGCAGGATTCACTGATGTATAGGGCTCGCTTCGGAACTCTCTTCCACCTGCGCGTAACGGGAGTAGTAGAGGCAGGTTCTTAATGAGATGCATCGTGATGTGTGCTCGAGTTCTAGGACCTGGCAGAACGAGACTGAGTATGTCATTCTCAGGAGAGAGGGGTATATTATTCTAATCATCTTATTTTTGGGAGCCGTACTTTCATCAACCGGCAAGCAACTTATCATCAGTCTCAAGAACCTTTTCCTGAACACTCTGATCCTCCTTCTCCCCATTCTGCTTCACCTCCTCCTCCTTGCCCTCCTCCTTTGCCGCCTCCCCATTCCCAGCAGCCTTCAACTTGGCCTTATCCTTCTTACTCAATGACACCGCCCCCTTTGCCATAGCCTCCTTGGGCAAAGGCCGGATAATCGGCTGCACAACCCACCAAGGCCTCTTACACCGCTTCACCGCGCCCCTCGAACTCTCCCCATCCTCCTCCACAACCTCTGCCGCATCGGCCTCCGGACCCAGCACCTCGTCACCCGCAAACATCTCCGCGCCCCGGGCCTCATACTCAATCAATCCCTCGGCAACCTTGCGCTCAACCATGCTCAAGATCCTCTCGTACGCCTCCAAATCGCCCGCCCGGCTCCGCGCCAACAAGTCCCGCACGTCAGTGTGCTTCGATACGAAGTGCCGTAGCAGGTGAAACATGTGCGGCTGCATCGCCGAGTAATTCGGGCTCAGCGCCCGGCTCTTGGCAGATTTGGGCCCGTTGGTCACGTCTCGCCTCCTCTTCTTCCGCTCCGGCTCGTCCTGCTCCGCCTCCGCGCGATCCATCTCCTCCATCCACGCCGTGTCGTCACCGGGTACAAACAACGGACGCCGCGAGGGTGGGTCCTGGCCCGCGGCGTACTTGTGTAGGATATCCATGTACCGCCTCATCACCGCGTCGACGCGGTATCCTCCCTTCCCGTCCTTGCCGCGCCAGTACTCCCTCGTCTCAGTCCCCGGGTCCGGCGGCCGGCTGAAGATGGCGGGGTCACTCAGGTTCCCCTCGGCGCTCATCACGCCATCCGCGCCCGTGGCGTCCAGCGCGCGCTGCAAGTCACTGTGCTGCAGTATATTTCCGTTCGCGAACAGCACCGTCTCGGGCGGCAGCTGGCCCCGCAACCACCGGATGGTCTCCCAGTCCGCCAGGCCCGTCAGATGTCCCTTTTGCTCGCGCAGCCGGCCGTGGACCGTGAGGATGGACGCGCCCGCCGCGAGCACGTTGCGTGCGTACGCCAGCGTCGCGGCCCTAGTGTCAAGGATCCTGATCTTGGCCGTCACGGGTATGGGTAGGTTCTTGTGCAGGGTGTTGATGAGCTTGAAGATGAGGTCCTGATCCTCCTGCAAGAAGGCGCCGTATTTTCCCTTCTTGGCGATGCCTTGCGGGCATCCCAGGTTCAGGTCCACGGCGTCGCAGTAGGGCGCGACCTTGAGGGCGGCGCCGAGGAGGGCGTCGGGGTCGTTTGCGCAGAATTGCACAAACAGAGGTCTGTCGATGGCGGGGTTGCCGTCGAGCCAGGGCTTGGTCGTCGGAGTCGGGTTCGTCGGAGTCGCAGCAGTGCCAGTCGCATCGTTCGAGTCGTCGGGTCTGACCGCCTGGAAATGGCACTGGCGGTAGTTTTCCGTGTCTTTGTACAATCGCGCATGGAACATGGGTGTGTAGGCCACCAGGTTCTTCTGCTCGGACGCTGGGATGAACGACCGGCTCAGCATTCGCCATGCCTATAGAAGGCCGTTAGCAATCCCGCTCCCAGACAGTGCCTCTCCGCACCACGAGCTTTTTGGGGAGAAGAGAAAGAAAAAAAAACCTACAAATTCAGATTGATCCACCATGGGTGCGAGAATGTACTTTGGACTTCCGATGCTCTCATAGAATGCCCGTCCGTGTAGCTTCGGTCTGGTCACGGCCGCTGTCGATGCTCCGGCCTCAAGCCCCGCGGTCGGGGCCTCTGTCGTTGTCGCCATGCTTCTCGTCAAGGTCAAGAATCGGGCGAACCGGGTTGTCTGAGACGTCCGGAGCCTCCAGAGCTTGAGAAACCCCTCCAGAATTTCGACTGTAATTGTAGAAAAGAGAAAAAAAATCACTGATGACTAGGGGGTTCAGTTTGACATCGCACGCTCGACCGAATGTCGCCTTGCCGTCGATTGCGAACCTTTCTACTTTGGCTTGTGATGGCAGAAATTTTTGGTTGAGCCTTGCACACTAACAGAGTGCGAGGCTGAGAAACCCCAGATGGGAAACTCTACCTGATTGGGTGGGGTCATTGGGCCCAGTGTTTCCCCCACGCATGGAACCTAAGGAACTGCGAGGGAAGGGGAACTGTCATCTACAGCAAATGACGTCGTCCCGCCGATCAAGGAGAAACGCTCTGCGGAGACGAGTACTTGACACTGCGGCTTCTCAAGGCTCATTTAGCTCTAGCACTGAGACGGTGTGTCAGACCACTCATGACACACGCAACCCAACAAAGGATTACTTGCGTAGGACGGGGCTTTTCACATGCAAACTTTTCACTATGCGCGCTCGCTCTAGTCCGCTCTAAACTATTCAATTCGCTGGAGCGGTCGATACCAACATCGAGACCTCGCTGAGACTAAGCTGTTCTTTTGGAAGAAAAAAGCCACACTCTATTCCGCCTCCTCATGACCCGACGAACTTTGAAGGCGACGTAACTCGAAGAGAACCGACAGGTAACGAAAAGTCCTTTAAGCCCTTACAAAACAAATATCGAAACACTAAACCTTGATCGAGTGTCAAGTGTGTGTATGTGTGTGAGTGAGTGATGCCATCTTTTCAGAAATCCGCATCTAAGTCGTCAGAAGACTTGGGCCCATCTGATAAAGTGCAAGAGGTCACCGCTATTATCGCCATCATGTCCTCGAGGTCCGTGTGATTGCTGCTCAAATGCAAAGAGGCCATCGGCCCGTAATCTGCACTGACTGGCCTGCTGCAAGGCTGTCCCATCCGGCCGCCGTCTTCGTATACCTCCCGCCCATTGTGAAAAAAGTAAAATAAAAAAAAGAATTAATCGACAAAGGGCGGCCGGGCAAGGCTTCTCAGTCAGGCGAGAAAAATGCTGTCGAGTGACGATAGTAAACGCCCTGACACCGTACGATGCTGTTCCTGAACGCCGTCGAATGGTAAATGTAGTTCAAATACATGATTGAGGGTTTGGTGCCCGTCATCAAGAAGCAAAAGTGGTGGGATTCCGTCTTGGAGGCGTAGCCATCGTTAGAAG